ATAGGAGACATCACAAGTCCACCTCTCACTGTCAGTGTCACTGTCAGTGTTTAGTGTAACAGTAACAAGATGCACTGAAGTGATGTCTGGTGTCCATGATTGGCAAAGCTGTTTTGTCATAGAGACCGCTACCCTCACGTACAAATTGCATAGTCACTACACTTCACAGTGAAGTGTTTTGAGACATCCTCTTGACATGGAGGCATAATATCAAATGCAAGGATTGTTGTTATTTTTCTCCGCTAGGTTGTTATCCAGCTTGGTTAAATGGGGGAAGAAAATGTAATTAAGGTTGTGTTACTTGCTTTACTGGTAGTCCTAATCAATCCAGCGCCTCTGCCAAGAGGAAAGCTCTCAATCAATGGTTCTCCAATCTGTTTTGACAGTGGGAGTTTGAGTAGGTGTGGGAGGGGAGCACTGGATTCCCACAGTGGCTTAAACAAGGAGAAACAACCACAAATGGAGATTAATTTACAACATTTTATGAATTTATGAATTTTAAAATAAACTCGTCCAATGTAACATTCCGAGCTTTTGTTGAACAATCTATGCATGTGGGCCCCACGGATTTGTGAAGAATTAATTTGAGGTTAAGAACAGCCTCCTCATTACACAGTCCTCGTCTGTCTCCACACTTTGTTTTGAGATGTATTAACTCTTGGTTTTGCGGACTCTAATTTTGCCAATAATAATAATAATAATAATAATAATCCTTGCATTTGATATAGCACTTTTCACGTCGGGAGGACGTCCCAAAGCGCTTCACAAAACACACTGTAAAGTGAATTGACTGTCTATTTGGGTCCATTTGTTAAATGACCCGTTGATATCTAAATTATAAAGCGTCTCATTTTTGAAGCGCATCATCGGGTTCCTCTTAATTCAACAGCAACAACACAAATTACATTTTATATAGCGCCTTTCACAAAGGAAGGACGTCCCCGGGCACCTGTTTTCCAAAAAAAAAATAGGCTTGCAGGTACCATAGCAGTAATCAAAAAGGGAAGGTGGTTTCTCCTGGTGTCCTGGCAAGCAACTTCCTCAGATAAAATTAGTTACTCACTCGAAGGCTGTTTGTGGGACGATGCTGTTTGTCTAAAATGTGTAGTCCTGTAGCTCAGTGGTTAGAGCACTCGCTTTGCAAGTGAGATACCTGGGTTCAATCCCCGGCAGAGGGCGAAACCTTGGGCAAGTTTCCTTACTCCACACAGAGCCTAATAATAATCCCTCCAAAACAAAACAACAATAAATTGGTCGTTTTCAATCCATGACTGTTTGTGGGACATTGCTGTGCGCAATTGGCTGCCGCGTTTCGCCCACAAATATACAGTCAATTCACTTTACAACATAGTCTGCGCTTATATTCTGGAAGACGTGAAAAGCGCTATATCAAATACAAGGATTATTATTACATTATTACAAAATAATCTTAATAATTTCTACCTTTGGTACAGCACCTTTCACATCAGGAGGATGTCTCAAAGTGCTTCATAGGATATTCTCTAAAGTGCAGTGAGTATGTGGCAAACGCAGCTGTCAATTTGCTCACAGCAATGTTCCACCAACAACTATGGAGTGAATGACCAATTTTATTTGTGGGATTGTTGGCCAGGGCACCAGGAGAAAGAAACTCCCTTCTCTTTTTGAATAATGCCCACCTGACCAGGCAGACGGGACCTTGGTTTAACTTCTCATCTGAAGGATTGCACTTCATAGAAACTTTGTCCAGTACTTTGAGATGTTCTTGAGATTATAGGAAATATATGAAAGTGCAGGAATTATTAAACTTTGACACGGAACTTTGAGGAACCGATGGGTGGATGCATCAAGTTACAGATGATATTGACAATCTGTCATATGAATGTGATGAGTTGCTGCTTTGTTAATGAATCTCTGACCACTTCAGCGCCTTGGGACGTCCTCCCGACATGATAGGCGCTCTATAAATGCAATTGTGTTGTTGTTGTTGTTCTCGTCAGATATTTATTTCAATGGTCTATTCATCTCCTCCAAGTCAGGTCAGTTGTGTGATTGTGGAGTCCTCTGGTATATTGGTTAGAGCACTGACCTCGCAAGCGAGATGATCCGGGTTTGATTCCTGGACAGGGTGAAACCTCTGTTTACCCAGCAGTAAGTAGGAACCCGGTTGTTAATCAATTTGCCAATCGCACTCTGGGGGTAATATTACCTTCAAAAAAAAATTGACAATTGTGGGACACTGCTGTGTGCAATTGGTTTCTGAGTTTCGCCCACAAAATACACAGCCCATTCACTTTACAGTATATTCTCTTTGAGACGTCTCAACAATGTGATAGGTGCTATATCAGTTGCAAGGAATATTATTATTATGTTTTTGAATGTGTTTGTTAGCCAAGGAATACTGCATAAACTCTGCATTGTACTCCAAACCCCGAGGACTACACAGTGACAGTGACATTGCTGTTTTCAGTAATTCCATGTGATTTGTCGAGATCGAGCAGCAATGAGGAGTCTCATTTTTATTCAAAAATTCATGAAATGAGCTTGAGATTCAACTGTTCTCTTCAAGCATTGAAGTAGGATTGAATTTCTAAACTGAATGGACTCATTGGGAAGGAAATGCTCACTCCAACAATTGATTACGAATGTGTATTTTTTTATTAGTTGATATAAATGACCTGGACTTGGGTATAGTGAGTAAAATTTCCAAGTTTGCAGATGATACTTAAGCCAGGAAAAGTAAACAGGATAGTAACAGACTGCAAATGGACATAGACAGACTGGTAACGTGGGCAGACACGTGGCAGATGAAGTTTAATGTGGAGAAATGTGAAGTGATGCATTTTGTGAGGAAGAATGAGGAGAGGCAATATAAGCTGATGGGACAATCTTAAAGGGTGTGAAGGAACAGAGACCTGGGGGTCATATAAGGAAATCTTTGCAGGTGGCAGGACAGGGAGATACAGCTGTTAAAAAAGCATCCGGGATACTCGGCTTTATAAATAGGGGCACAGAGTACACAAGTCAGGAAGTTATGATGAACCTTTATATAAAACACTGGTTAGGCCTCAGCTCGAGACTGGGTTCAGTTCTGGGCCCCACACTTTAGGAAGGATGTCAAGGCATTGGAGAGGATGCAAAGGAGATTGACCAGAATGGCACCAGGAATGAGGGACTTCAATTATCAGGAGAGGTAGAGAAGTGAGGATTATTCTCCTTGGAGCAGAGAAGGTTAAGAGGAGACTTCATAGAAGTTTTCAAAATTATGAGGGGATTCGATAGGTGAACAGGAGAAACTATTCCCACTGGCGGGTGGGTCGGTGACCCGAGGACACCGATTTAAATAGTTGTTAAAAAAAACATAGTGGAGTTGAGGAGAAATGTTTTCACACAGCGAGTTGTTGGGATCTGGAATGCATTGCCTGAAAGGCTGGGGGAAGCCGATTCGATAACAGCTTTTAAGAGAGTAGATAATTATTTGGGGAGGACAAGTTTGCAGAGCTATGGGGAGAGAGTGGGGGAGTGGGATTGATTTGGAAGCTCTTTTCAAAGAACTGGCACAGACACGATGGGCTGAATGGCCTCCTTCTGTGCTGAATAATTCTATGATATACTCGAAAGAGACTCACGGATTGTGTTTTCCCCTGTGTGTGTGTGTGTGTGTGTGTGTCTGTTTGTCTCTCTCTCTCTTTCTCTCTCTCTCTCTCTCTCTCTCTGTCAAGGTAAATTAACAATAGATTCCCGGGCCGATCGCTTTTCCAGCGTTAATAATCCCTTGAACATAAATAAATGAATAATAATTTGGTTACTTAATTTACGACTGTTTGTGGGACGCTGTTGTGCGCAATTGGCTGCTGAGTTTCACCCACAAAATATATAGTCAATTCACTTTACAGTATATTCTGTGAAGCGCTTTGAGACGTCTCGAAGATGTGGTAAGGCGCTATATCAAATGCAAGGATTATTATTATTATTACACACACAGATTTCTCATTTAAGCAGAAGTTTGTTTTCCTCTGTATCTCCAGCTGGCAGCGTTGCTGAACTGTCACTTAGCCACCGCATCACTGAAAGTTTCTGAAGCCTTTACCCAGCGAGTGATCTCAAGCCAATTCCCAGGCTCCAATTCACTCCTTAATCAGGCCCTCGCCACTCTGATGTTGCTTTGCTTCAAAAGTGTCTGATGCTGGGGATCACACTCCGAAATACCGCAGCTACCATCAGTCACTGCTCCCCAAAGCTCTGGAACTCTCTTCCTCAATCCCGCTGCCTTGTCCCCCCCATTTTCAAATCCCGCCTAAAGACCTTGCTTTCTGATCGTGCTCACGGTCACCTCCCCCCTTCCCTCTCCCCCGGCTCGGGGTCAGACTCCACCACTGTCAAAGGCCCCAGAGCGCTTGACAGTGGTGGCCAAGACATCAAGAGAAACTTCTCTTTTCGAACCTTCACTTGGTGTCACTGTGGTTTTGTGCCTTAACGTGCAGTCAGAGAAATACTGACACTGTTCTCAGTATCAAGTGTCACTTTGCACATTCGTTTAGTGGCTTTGAATTGCTTGTTAGTGGGGTGACAGCTTTTCCTAAGATCATGGATAAAGCTGATATGTGTCGACATAAAATGATAATCCTTGCGTGTGATATTGCAGCCATAACATTCAACATCTCAGAGCATCTTCATTGCTATGAAGTGGAGTTTCAGCCTGGTATTTTTAAAATATGATACTTGCTTTTCAACTTCTACCATTTCATTATCTTCCATCAACAATGGTTTTCGGTTGTTGTACAAAGAGCATTTTACAGCTTTACGATTCATTGCCCCACAACGAGATTGTTTTTTTTTCTCTCTGGGCATGAATTATGCTCTCGAACAGAACAGGAATAGTTCTGTTCTGTTCGAGAGGGCATAATTCTTTTTGCTAAAGTTACTCTTGAAGCAGTTGAATTGATGGACATTTACTAAATGCTGGAATATGAAATGTTTCACAATATCCTAAATCTATTCTATTGTTTTGTTTTTAAAAGGTCAAAGCTGTGGCAGCACACTGCGTGGACCTAATGGAACTATAGACAGCCCAGGGTTTCCTTATGGGTATCCAAACTATGCCAACTGTACCTGGACGGTCATCACAGAAGACCAGAACCGAATACAACTGGCATTCCAGGCGTTTGCACTCGAGGAAGATTTTGATGTGTTATCCATTTACGATGGTCGAATACACCAAGGCAATTTAAGGACAAGGTATTGTATTCCGATAAGTTTATTACTTTATTAAGAAAAGCTGACCTTCCTCTGTGATGCACGTACCTCTCATACAGTTTAGAAATAACCTCCATGAACCAGTTACAGTGACAGATGGAGTCCTGTACCTTAGTGGTTAGAGCACTCACCTCCAAGCTAGAGATCTGGGTTTGATTCTCGGGAGGGTGAAATGTTGGGGAAGTTTCCTTACTCCACACGCCTAATAATAATCCTTCAAGATAAAATGTGCGTAAAATTATGGAGACTCGTATTACGGATAAAATCATGAAGCATCTGGACAGAAATAAATCATAAATGATAGCCAATATGGGTTCATGAAGGGAAGGTCTTGCCAGTCTAATTTACTGGTTTTCTTTGACGGTGTTACAAGGGAGCTTGATAAGGGTAAGGCTGTGGATGTTGTATATCTGGATTTCAGTAAAGCCTTTGATACAGTTCCTCTTGAGAGGCTGGTGCTGAAAGTCAAGAAAGTGGGAATCAGTGGAAGTATATTACAATGGATACGTAACTGGTTGATATGACACTAAGTTATCTCAATCTCCAGAACAGATGAAATTCAATGTAGAGAAATGTAAAATATTTCACATGGGGACAAAAATTCCTGGAAGGGACTATTATTTGAACGGAAGTAAAATGATATGGATGGAAAATGAAAAGGTCCTGATTGACAATAAATTGAAGCTCTCCCAACAATGCTCTGTGGCCGTGAGTAAAACAAACCAGATGTTGGGATGTATCAAAAGATCAATAACAAGCCAAAATAGTGAGGTAATCCTGCCACTGTATAAATCATTGGTGAGACTGTACTTAGAGACTGTGTATAGTTCTGGTTGTCATAGTACAAAAAGATATTGGAGAAATTGAGAAGATAGAGGAGGGCAACCAAAATGATTGAGGGAATAGAGGGATTGGACTGTGAGGAGCGACTCAGTAAATTGACTGTGTTCACGCTGGAAAAGAGAAGATTGGGAGGCGACATGATTGCTATCTTTAAGATTCTAAAGGGGCAAAACAATGTAGATCACGACAGGCTGTTTCAATTTGTCCAGAACAGTAAAACCAGAGAACTCGGCCTGCGATTGAAGGTAAATTCAGAACAAATTTACACAAATATTATTTCAGTGAGCGAATAGTGAACCTTTGGTGAGAGTGGATTAGGCTCCGTAGAGAGAAAGTTGAAGCAAGAAGTGTTGATTTCTTCAAACAGAGATTAGATCATTTTCTTTTAGGAAATAACATGATGAGATATAGTATAGAGGGGGTTTGGGATATATGTGCATGTGACTGCCAGGAAGGTGGACCTCAGCCTTTTTTCGTCTAGCATTTCTTATGTTCTTATATTATTATTATTATATAGCTGCAGCAGTTAAGATGTATCAAACTTGCCTCACTCAGTAACACTCTCACCTGTGAGTCAGAAGTTTGTGGGTTCAAGCCCCATGTTGGTTCACAGGCCACGCTGGTGCAGTGCTGTGGACATGAAAGATCCTATGGCGCTAATCGAAAAGAGAAGGGAGTCTCTCACTGATTCTTGCAATCTTGTATCCTTGCTAACGATTGCTCCAAATAGAATTGTCATTCATGCCATGACTGTTTGTGGAATATTGCAATGCACACATTTGTTTTCCGTGATAGTGATAGCAAAACATGTAGTCACTGCGCTTTAGAATGAATTCTGTGAAGCGCATGATGTGACGCTACATCAAATGTAACTATTATTATGATTATTGATTATTAAGAGTATATTGTGAAGTTGATTGATGCTCGCTCCTTGTAAAGGTCATGATTCCTTGATTGCGTTCAGCCTGGTGAGGGAGGAACAGGACGTACACAGTAAAGCTTCTTCAGCGCGGCTCCAACATATTCTTTCCCGTTGACCTCCCGCTGGAGTGGAGGTGTGACGTGTGACTTTCTATTTTCTGCACCAGCCGTTATTATGCCCGCTCGGGCTGATTAGCATTCAAAACACGCTGAGCATTAATTACACTAGCAAGCCGTGGGTTTGACTTTCACAAATTATATTCTGTACAAATAAACTTTAGAAACTTTTGAACTGGCAATGTGCAACCAGCAGAATCAGGATTATGTGAAGTGTGTGTGTGTGAGTTTGTGTGTGTGTGTGTGTGTGTCTGTCTGTCTGTCTGTCTGTCTTGTCTGTCTGTCTGTCTGTCTGTCTGTCTGTCTGTCTGTCTGTCTGTCTGTCTGTCTGTCTGTCTGTCTATGTATTACATTATTTCATTGGCAGTTTGTGTACAGTTGTTCTTCCTGATATATTTTTTCTCTAATGAAAGTCCTGTACGATGCAGTTAATGTAGTTTATATGGACTTTCAAAAGGCATTTGACAAAGTGCCACATGAAAGTCTTGTAAGAAAGATAGAAGCCAATGGTATAAAAGGGACAGTGGCAGCGGATCCAGAACTGACTGGGAGACAGAAAGCAGAGAGTTGTGGTGAACGGCTGCTTTTCTGACTGGAGGGAAGTGTACAGTGGCGTCCCACAGGGTTATTAGGACAACTAGGGTATTAGGGTATTAGGACTACTGCTCTTCTTAATATACATAAATGATCTGGACTTGGGTATAGCAAGTACCATTTCCAAATTTGCGGACGACACAAAATTAGGTAGTGTGGTAAACAGTGAGAAGGAATAGTAGCCAACTGCAGGAAGACATAGACAGATGGTAAGATGGGCGACACATGGCAGATGAATTTCAATGTGGAGAAATGCGGGTAATGCATTTTGGTAGAAAGAATGAGGGGCAATATAGGCGGTAATACAATCTTAAGGGGGTAAAAGAACAGAGAGACCTGGGGGTTCAGGTAAATGAATCCTTGAAGGTGGCAGGACAGGGAGATAAAGCTGTAAAAAGGGCATATGGGATACTGGGCTTTATAAATAGGGGCATAGAGTACAAGAGTCAGGAGGTTATGATTAACCCATATAAACACTGGTTAGGCCTCAGTTAGAATACTGTGCCCAGTTCTGGGCACCGCACTATAGGAAGGATGTTAAGGTATTGGAAAGGGTGCAGAGGAGATTTACGAGGATGGTACCAGGAATGAGGGACCGTAATGATGGGGAAAGGCTGGAGAGGCCGGGATTATTGTTATTGGAGCAGAGAAGGTTACGAGGACCTGATAGAGGTCTTCAAAATCATGAGGGGATTTGATGGGTTAGAAAGGGAAAAACTGTTCCCACTGGTGGGTGTGTCGGTGACTCAAGGTCACAGATTCCAAATAGTCTCTAAAAGAAGCCGAGGGGAGGTGAGAAGAAATGTTTTCACACAGCGAGTTGTTTGAATCTGGAACGCATTGCCTGAGAGGGCGGTCGAATCCGATTCAATAACAACTTTTAAAAACGCGGTGGACGGGTATTTGAGGAGGACGGGTTTGCAGGTTATGGGGAAAGGGCCGGGAGTGGGATTGACATTAATTGCTCTATTCAAAGAGCTGCACAGACTCGATGGGCCGAATGGCCTCTTTTTGTACTGTACGATTCTATGATTCAATGATCTATGATTCTATGATTCTATGTCACATTTCTTCTGCATTCAATTTTTACGAGACTGGAAATGTTTACTTTGTTTCTGAGAGCTGATAACTACCGTGTTTCTATAAATTTCCAGAGTGCCTGAATTCTCTGTCACTTTTCTGAATGGGCACTATTCATCATCTGATCGCACTGCTCTACCATGTACATGTATTTACCATTTATCACTGCCCAAATGATTAGCCAGTTAGCCAAATATGGTGTTTGCCACATGGACTTTCTGAGCAGAACAGTGATGCTGCATATAAAATGTCAGCATTGCGATGTGCCATTCATCAAACTTGACTTTTTAATGCAGCACAAAGCTTTAATGCTCTTTCTGTGCAGGATCTGAGCAGCGTTACGGATATGGATTTGTGTACGGTTCATTCTGCGTGACCAAATATTGATGTAATTTAGTCAGCAAGCAATTCGACAGATTCTTGGTGTTAGTACAGTTTTACCAACAATGTGTTTGATAGTTAAACTCTAGAGGGTTAATTTCTTTGAAATAAAACTCTGTCCTGGGGGAGCACTTCATTGTCGGAGATGACGATCTTCAGTCGAGATGTTAAACCTGTGTGGTTATTAAGGGGTTAAAGATGAAATGCTAAAGGTCCGATGGCACTTTTGTTAAAAAGAAGTGAGTTTCTCTCTCCCGGTGTCCTGGTCAACAATCCTCCAGATAAAATTGGTCATTCACTTCAGGGCTGTTTGTGAGACATTTAACTGTGGTGTTTATGTCCTAATTAACTGTGGCGTTCACCCACAAATATACAGTCAATTGCACATAACAGAAATTACAGTGAAGTGTTTTGAGATGTTTGGATGATGTGACAGGATTCTATATCAAATTCAATCATTATTATTTTAATGTCTGATACTGGAGTGAGGAATATTTGAAGACCATTGGCTATATATCTCACTTTTCTATGTCAACCACTCCTGTCTCAGTAAAGCTCTGAAGAATAAGAATAATAATCTTTGCATTTCATACAGTGCCTTAGGGTTAGGGTTAGTAACTCACATCTCAAACTCTTCACAGGATTTAATGTAAAAAGTGTAGTGATTGTGCAGTTTCTAGACTAACCCAGCAACCAATTTGCACACAACAATGTCCCACAAACAGCCATTGAACGGATGATGAAGCCATAAGTCAGCCGGGAGATCGGTTGTTTGCTTAAATTTCTGCCACCGATGTTCGTTCTGTAGGTTCTTGTTGGTTTGCAGTGTTGTAAAGTTATGATTCAGTGGCTTATTGTGAGATGTATCTGCTAGTTGGAATTGAGCCTCTGGAACTTTAGCTCATGACCTTTCTACTTGAAAGTGAATGTACTTGATGCTAATCAAGAAAGACATCTAATGCGTAGGTTTCTACTTGTGACCCAAACACAGACTGAAGGCATCATGACACAGCTGAAGTCACCTCTATAACCCAAGGGTCAACAAT